GGTATTTTACTGTAAATTTAAGTTAAAACCGTAGAACCCAAGACGTTGCTACCGCAGTTTTTACGGTACAATTATGGCAACCACAGCTACTGTATTTTTTTTACCGTAAATTACATAATTTTTTTTTTTTTACAGTGTGGTTATTATACTTCAGTTTGATACATGCGACGCAATGAGAAGAGATTTGAGAATTGATAAGAGAATTGACTTTTTTTTTGTATTTTTTTTTTTAATTCAGTGATCATGGTTTTTCTGTTACTTGTTTTGTATATCAGCAAAACCAGGAGTGTGTCCTATATACAATCTTGATGGAGCAGTGTTCATAGCATGTTTGGAGTTGTGTTCCCGTGACGGTAACTGTCCGAATGATGAGAAATGTTGCAGCAATGGATGTGGACATCAATGTATGCCTCCATATAAAGGTATTTATATTGTTATATTAATGTGAATTTAAATTTAGTTTTTAAAATAACATTTTTAAATACAGTGAGGCATTCAGTGATCTGCTTTCTCTAACATGTTTGTATAACAGAAAAACCAGGAGTGTGTCCAAAAACCAATCCTGAAGATGACATGTTAGGAGTGTGCTGAGTTGTGTTCCCAAGATGGTCACTGTCCGAATGATGAGAAATGCTGCAGCAATGGATGTGGACATCAGTGTATGGCTGTATCTAAAGGTACATTATATTAATGCATTGGTCAGATTTTTTTTTCCCGTATTACAGGGAGTCATTCAGCATTCAGTGATGTGGTTTCCCTGTTGTGTTTGTATAACAGTAAAGCCAGGAGTGTGTCCAGGGAGATTCCTTGGAGTAGGATTGTGTAAAGGGTTGTGTGTCAATGACATTGACTGTCCGAAAGATGAAAAATGCTGCAGTACTAAATGTGGACGCAAATGTACACCTCCATATAAAGGTATTCGTTATTTTGATGCTTGGGTCCCCAACACGCACCGTTTTTGAGTTTTATCATTTCCAATGGCAAAGTAACTGAATTTGGCCCATAACACCATTTCAAGCACATAGTTTTTCAAAATGATTAATACCATTTTGAAATTACTTCCTCTAAAAGTCAAACTTGTTCACGTTTTGTGATGTTTGAGTTTGAATGCATCTAAATGAACAGACTAATTCTGATTATCTTTATCCATGCAGTGAGGCCTGGTCTATGTCTCAAACCAAATGTGTGCTGATAACTCTTCCCATGATGATCTGTACCCTGCCAGACAGAAGTGTTGCCTAACCACCTGTGCATGCAGCGCACCATGCCAGTTTAGCCATCTGGAAAAAGTCCTCGATTGTTCGCTACGTTTTTCTTTTTTTTGTCCATGCTATACTTGATCTTTTCAATTCATTAAATCTCATAGCTTAGTGAAACGTGTGTGTGTGTGTGTGTGTAAATAATAAATGTTGTTGGGGTGAAGTACAAATCTACCAGAAATAAACGAAGAATGCGGGGTAACCCTAACGGGAGAGAAATGTAGTGTGTGTAAACACTGGTTTAATGGTTTTGAAAATTCAGTATATAGTGAGTCAATATGCCTCTAAACACTCCAGATTTGGTGAGATTTTTATTTTTATATCTAGTCCTGATGACTAATATGTTTGTATATTAATGT